CACAAGCGTAAAACACGCCACAAGAGGGAGAAACAAAGCTCAAACGGTCACGAAATGATGGGAAAACATCTTAGAATATGGCGTTATCTCCCAACATTCAAGCCTCTTTCAAAAAAAGGAAGGGGGTTTTCTCTCTATCTAGTTTAGAATGGCAATTAGATTGATGGACTTTCACACAACACAATCATTCATGAATAATACCTCCACATTCACATTAACACAACCACACACAAATCATCCAATTCATACAAGCATTCACATAATTGTAGCTAGGGTTTACAAACACCCAAGTGAAAGAAGGAACTACTCCATGCTAGGAGAAGGGAAAACACAAGAGAGAAGAAGGAAAACCATCAAAGAGATGCTAGCATTGCTCCTTGTGTTGAAGAGATCCGCCTTTGGGGGAGGAATTCCCAAATCCTTGCTTGAAGATGAAACCCTAGCTTCTCCTCTTCTTTGGTTCGTCACTTTCTCACTCTAGAATTCTAAAGAAGAAGAAGTTTCTCACACTAGGTTTCTCCCTTTTCTCCTTTGGCTCAACCTCCTTTATATACCTAGATCGGGCTTAGTTCACAGTCTTAGTTCACGACCTTGAACTGAAAGCCTAGACCATGAACCAAAGTCGAAACGCACCACATCACTAATCCCAGTTCACGGGAAATGGCCTGAGTTCACGGTCTTCCGACCGTGAACTGACTCGTGTCTAGTGAAAACCATTTGTGCTCTGGATGCCTGGCTGTTCGCGAGAATCCCCTCCAGTTCATGGTCTAAGTGACCATGAACTCACAGCCCAAACCATGATCTGCTGCTGTTTCCACCGTTTGACTTGATTTTTCACCCTTCGTCCAACTTTCAACTCTGGGGATGGTTCTACCGGCCATAGTCTGAAAAACACCAAAACAAGGCAAAACCTGGCGTAAAACCAAACCCCCCGGAGTAAAAATGCTTCAAACGACTAAGCAAACTAGGTGGTAAAAAGTGTACACATGTGCCCGAATTACTCCCCCACACTTAGACGTTTGCTAGTCCCCAAGCAAACCATTTTCAACCTAGGTGATATCTCAACCTAACAAGATAACTTGGGGACAAATCAAAAGGCGTCAAGTGGTGAATCTCAGTAACTATTTGGGCATCGACATATGAACCGCCTCCACAAACGAAATTCGATTGCATCAAGAATAGGCAAATGAAAAGTTCATACCTGTTCACAAATCAATGCAAGTATCGACCAGACTACTCACCAACCAAAACTAACCATGCATAGAACTCAAGTCCAAGGAACCGACAACGGGGCAACATAGGTCCTCAACAGGGTAAGATAAGAACATGCAAAACAGGAATGAATCACTCACTCTCAACTAGTGGGATCTGGAACTTTTTGGTGCAAAAGATGTGCACGATCATCAACATTCAGCCCTATCATCTCTCCACCACGGCTGCAACCTCTAAATGTTAGAGTTCACGGGACAGTTGTCAACACTAGCTTGTCCGGAGGTCTTAGACACGGGTTCAAATGACTGGAAATTGTCTGAGACATGGGAAAAAGGCTTTTTTGGGTGGTGGAAAACATGACATGAGGTCCTACATCTTGAACCTAAAACCCAAGGTTCTATGGTCTCGACTAAGAACCTTTCCTACAACAAAGGCCACTAGCATCAGCCAAAAATCACACTTCCCTTCTTCCAAACCACTACCAATCATGAACCACATTCAAGCACACATCTTCGGCCTATCTTGTTATTCACATTTCAAACCTAGTAGTGAAGGAGGTTGACACGCTAAAACACAACAGCAAACTGCGACCAAGTGTAATCGCAGTCCGGAAATGCAGTAAAGTGGCAAGCTCTATTTGTCAACCCGGGGTCTAGATCTACTGCCTACTCCGTGATTATATATTATCTAGCAAACTAACTCGAGTGATTGTGATTTTAAGTAAAAGCAGTAAGAAAGCAGGAAATGGTTCGAAGTTCTTTAGCAAGGGAAGAGTCACTCGGGAATGAGTCCCCCTAGCTCCTTAGTTAGGTCAAGGTTGTAATTACCCTTGGTTGATTTACTATTGATTAAACTGCTGAAGATCGAATAGTAGCTTGGAATCTCTTAAGCTGACCAAGCCCTCTCAGGTAGACTAACCGGCAGGCGACTAGCCTTCACTGGGATAGACTGCTGAGGCAATAAACATAGAACTCCACTACTGGAATTGGATACCAGTACAAAGCAGTAAATCGATTAACTCTCGTATAACCAATCTACCACTACCGATCGATAAAGCTCTAACAACCTAATCAGATTCTTTTTATCTCAGGTTGCAGCAGAAATCAAGAAAAAGATGATCAGGCTTCAATTGACTCAATGAATCATGCATCAAGCGATTAAAATCAATCAGTATATCAATCCCAAGTCATTACAATCAAGATTCCTAACACATGGAACTAGGGTTCTTCATACCCCAAGTGAGAGAAGGTTCTACTCCATAGAGAGAGATGAAAACAGAAATAAGAGTAGTCATACTCGTAAAGATGAGGATAATCTGCTCTGGGATGTCGATCTTCACTCCTGAGGATGCAATCTGGGCTTCAATGGTGAGAAATCCATTCCAAATAGCTCCTAGGGTTTGTTCTTCGCACTTTCTCTCTCTAAAGCTCTGTTTTTTCTATGGAAAATCCATTCTCTCTCCTTAAACTCGAAATTGGGTTAAAACCCAAAATTTCCCGACCACACGGCCGTGTGTCTTCCCAGTCTGCCCGTGTGAGTGCCATAACGCGGCGTTCCATCTAATGAGCTTCATGCATGCTGCACAACGATAAGTGCACGGCCGTGTGGATTCTTAGCCTGACCGTGTGAGCTCCCTGGAATTTCCACACGGCCACAAGGGAGACCAATACACGGCCAGTATGGCCTTGCCCGCGTAATGGGATTCCACACGGCCACGCCACACGGCCATGTGGCTGCTAGGTCTGGCCGTGTGGATTCCTCAGCTTCTCGCCAAACGTCCAACTTTCGTCCAATCAACCCTGAACTCGTTGATAAACCTCCAATCACGTACTAGGACCTGAAATAACACAAACGAGAACAACCTAGCGTGAAATCGGCCTAAGATACGAGAAATGAGGCTCAAACGACATACGAATAGTGGATATAAACATGTGTATATATCAAGTCATCAAATTCCCCCACACTTAACAGTTTGCTCGTCCCCAAGCAAACCAAGTCAGATACAAGGTAAGCTCAATACATTTCAATCATACCAACTTTGGGGACAAATCATATAGGCATAGAACAAATAAATCATACTGGTTTTTTTATCATTGACATATGGACAACTCAACAGCAACCTAGACAACCACCACAGAGGACATTCGAGTGCAAAATCGGGTAAAGGAAGAGGAGCACTTTCTCCTTAAACTCGAAATTGGGTTAAAACCCAGAATTTCCCGACCACACGGCTGTGTGTCTTCCCAGTCTGCCCGTGTGAGTGGCAAAACGCTGCGTTCCATCTAATGAGCTTCATGCACACTGCGCAGCCAGAAGTGCACGGCCGTGTGGATTCTTAGCCTGACTGTGTGAGCTCCCTGGAATTTCCACACGGCCACAAGGGACCCAATACACGGCCAGTGTGGCCTTGGCCGCGTAATGGGATTCCACACGGCCACGCCACACGGCCATGTGGCTGCTAGGTCTGTCCGTGTGGATTCCTCAGCTTCTCGCCAAACGTCCAACTTTCGTCCAATCAACCCCGAACTCGTTCCCAAACCTCCAATTTGATGCGAAAAAATGTGCATGCTTATTCTCCCAAATCCTAACGTCTCTTCACCATGATGGCAGCCTCTAAATGTTAGAGTTCACACAAGGGATGTCACCATTAACTAATCCGGAGGTCTTAGACACAGGTTCAAGCGACTGGTTAGGGTCTTGGACATGGGGAAAAAACCTTTTAGGTGGTGGAAGTATTCATAGCAAAAGGTTCCACAGTTCCAAACCCAACACATTCACAGCCACTCAAACCAGTAACTTTCTTTCTGCCATTATGCATTACTCAAATTCTCTAGAGCACAAGAGCGAAGGAGCTCACAATAATGTTAGTATTTCCAAGCCAGACTGCTAAGAAACACTACTTAATGAGCATGATTCAGATTTTTTTTGGTAGCGGCTCTCTTTTGCTTTCATTCGTTTTTTTTTTTCATTTCTTGAGAGAACCACCACCTCTGCACATTTGTCAATCACAGACCCAACTTTTAAGCACTACCTCCAACCCTCACATTATATTTAGCAGAAATAGCAGAGAACATGCAAAAACCACTCTGTGGAACCTTCTAAGAGATGCAAAAGGGTGATTTTCCATTGTAGACCGAAAGAAAGAAAAGTACACGGCTCAAAGGGGCTGACTAGGGGGTATGACACACCAGGACAGTCAATTTGGTCGTGGGCTATACCTATGCCTCCGTCATCTCAGCTAGTGACAACGTGAATGCTATACATCATGGAAGAGGGATCTATCGCACAAGAAAGAAACGAGCAGGCACAAATCTCACATGGCTACCTATATGCTCTATCTCACATTCTGATTCCCTGAACTAGATGCATAAATGACTGTCAAGAGCAAGTGATCAATCCAAGTCACAATTGGAAAGCAAACAGTTGAAAAACTGAACCCCTACACAACTCTACTGCACGTCTCAGTCATCATCATAGGTTGTCCTAGTTACAATCAAGTTGTCATGCATTTATTCGAAAGCCATTCGATTCACCAATCATATCCACAGTGCCAGTATGATCATGCAAACATCAGTACCTGGAGCCCTCAAATCTTGAGATTTAGACAGCGGACTAGGCTCCAAGCACACATATAAAGATTCCAACCAACAAAGCACCTCCCCCCCCCCACACACACACTTACGTTCGACATTGCACTCAATGGAGCAGAGGGAAAGATAAGGGGAATGATGTTACCGGAAGGAAAGACTGCCGGGGGAAGGGAAGTGGACCAGTCAGCGGGGCTAGCATCAACAAAACACACTGGGTGATAGAAACCATAGCATCACCACCATCGTGTACCCGTCGCCGTACACGTGTACCCGATCGATCGTCACGTTCCCCCAGCTGAATCCAACGGCTGATGGAGGTTGTTGGCCTCCCCCATCCGCCGCATTGAATCTCGGCCGCACGACCACCGGCTGCGGGTCCAACCCGTCACTTAACCGGACGGCCATCACGAGGTTCTCTTCCGGACCGTTGGATACGTTGAGGAAAATATGATCCGACCATTCTCGGCCACGTGCCTCTCTCGCTTCGACCGACCGCCACGTGTCGGTTTCAGAGGAGTAGAGGAAGAGGACCGGGCGGGAGTCGACGAGCTCCCTGAACATGAACCGGAATTTGTTCCGGTCCGACCGAGAGACGACCAATTTCATGCCGGACCGGCGCCACGACGAGGTGCCACGTGGGCCGAGCGGGCTGGGCGGGATCGTCCTCGCCGTTCGGGCGGCGAGGTCGACGGCGATTACTTCCTTCCGTGAATTGGAGGCGAAGAGGAAGAAGTTCCCGGCGGCGGTGAGGAAGTAGAGGCTCTCCCCGCCGCCGGGTCGGATCGGGTCGCGGATCTCGACCCGGAACCAGGAGGAGGACCCGGAAGTGAAGCCCTGGAGGACGGCGTCGCGGTGCCAGCTGCGCTTCTTGTAGAGGAAGAGCCACGTGGCGTAGGAGGAGAGGGCGTTGAATTCGCGGAGGAAGGCCGGGTCGGAGGCGATCCGGGAGACGGATCGATTTAGGGATTTGACCCGGACGAGTTCGGGGAGGGCAAGGGAGAGGAGGATTTTCTTTACCGTCTTTTAGCTGGATGCTTAGAGAGGTGAAGGAACAGGTGCCTCCAGAAGCGGATCCACATCGCTCTTGAGGTACAACTTCAGATGGTGGTCATGCACACAACGGGTGTGACCACCAGCACTCGTCAACTCGACCTGGCCATCCGGCAGGATGCAAGCGAGTGAATACTCGGATGGCCAAGGCGGTCGAGTCTCAGGAGGCGAGACTAGCTCATAGTGGTCTCTGGCTTTCTTGTGAGCAGGCTTAGCTACCTGCAATTTCGACCGCCACTCTTCCTTGATCTTTTCTTTTGGTAACGGAGTGGACGGGAGCGGCGGCGAAGATATGGGAGGGGGATCCTGCAAAATGGGAAGCACAAAAGGATACACGACAGACTCGTGCTCTTAGTGAGAGACAACATGCAAAAGGCGATGAAGCAAGGAGAGTATTAGCAATGCAAAATGTTATTCGCTCCTCGCCATCCCTCAAGACTAAGGTCCCATCATGTACATATATGAGAGCCTTGGTGGTGGCCAGGAAAGGCCTTCCCAGTATAAGGGGCACTTCAGGAACTTCGCATACTTAGGCATTTGAGATAGTGCCTCCAGGATGGGCACTTGGACATTCAGCTTCCTAAGGATGGACATGAAGTTCCCGAACTCTGCCTCTAGCTTGTCTTTGTGCAACCGAGTAGGGAAGGGGAGTTGAGGGACATACCCCTTCACTACTGGTTGAGGCTTAGGAGCAAGTACCTCAACCTCCTTCTCCGCTTCTTCTTCAACAGCTGGAAATGTCGAGGCATGTCTCCCTCCCGCTTGTCTGGCCAAGACAGGTGGGTCTGCAATCACTTTGCCGATCCTTGTAGTGATAGCATTAGAGTGGGCATTCGGGTCCTTCGGATTAGGAATAGTATGACCCGGCAAGGTACCCGGAGCCCTCTGCGCCACTACTTGAGCCACACTCCCCAGTTGGGTTTGGATATCCTGCAAGACAGCCTGTGTGTTCCTCTGGCCAGCTTCAAGAGCCATGAATTTACCCGAGGCCTTTTCCATGAACTGCTCGATAGTGTTGAATTTATCAGCACTAGAACTAGCAAGAGAACCCACCAAGTCCCGCAGTTCAGTTATCGGATCATTCTGTATTGGGGTTGCAGGGGCTGCACCTGGCTGCTTGAAGGCTCGCGGCTGTGGTTGAGCAGCATTCCCCTACATGGGCTGGTAGAGAGACTGCTGTTGTTGCTGGAATTGCCCCTACCTTGGCTGATATGGCGGTCTTTGGAAGCTTGGCGGTCCGTGGGAGACTGGTGGTCTAGGATTGGCCCCAACTCAGGAGAAGTTGGGATGCTGGCGCCACCCCTCGTTGTAAGTGTTATTGTAGGGGTCATTGCGCCTAGCATTGTTGATTAAGTTCACCTGCTCCTGGGGTGTAGCCGAATCCCTCATCGCCTGTCAGTCTTCCACAGTGTGATGGCTGCTCTCGCACCATTGGCAATGCATTGCCTGCTGCTGTCCAGTACCTGAAATCATTCCACAGCGATCGATGGCTCAAACCAGTTTCGATACCACCTGCACCAAATCAGACAACTGGGTGGCTACAGCATGCACACCCCGCACTGGTGCTCGTCTTGATCACATAGCAGTTCCCCAATCATAGCCTTGCTCTGCCATCTCTTCAAAACGTTGATTTAGCTGTGGCAGTGTCTTGGTGAGCATATTCTCGTCGCAAACTGACTCAATCAGCTACTTGTCTTCCGGGAAGAGGGCATGGTAGAAGGTTCCCACCTTAAAGGTGTCGGTAAAACCATGGTTGGGACACTTGAGGAAAATATTGGGGTATCTCTCCCAAGCATCCCGAATTGTCTCATCTTCATCCTGAGCAAAGTGGGTGATTAGCTTCTGCAGGTCCGCCGTCTTGGACGGAGGATGGTGGCGGGTGAGGAACTTGTCCGCCAGGTTGGCGAACATGGTGATCGAGCCTGGAGTTCGATTGTCCAGCCACTCCTTGGCTTGCACCTCCAAAATAAATGGGAAGTACCTCAGCTGGTTTGCATCGGCTGGAACCCCATTGATCTTGCATCGCATACAGCATGCACACCCCCTGGTGCTCGTCTTGATCCCCTCGCAGTTCCCCGATCATAGCCCTACTCTGCCATCTCTTCAAAAATTTGATTCAGTTGTGGCAATGTCTTGGTGAGCATATTCTCGCCGCAAACTGAGTCAATCAGCTGCTTGTCTTCCGGGTAGAGGGCATGGTAGAAGGTGCCCACCTTGAAGGTGTCGGTAAAACCATGGTTGGGACTCTTGAGGAAAAGATTGGGGTATCTCTCCCAAGCATCCCGAATGGTCTAATCTTCATCCTGAGCAAAGTGGGTGATTAGCTTCTGCAGGTCCGCCGTCTTGGACGGAGGATGGTGGCGGGTGAGGAACTTGTCCGCCAGGTTGGCGAACATGGTGATCGATCCTGGAGTTCGATTGTCCAGCCACTCCTTGGCTTGCCCCTCCAAAGTAAATGGGAAGTACCTTAGCTGGTTTGCATCGGCTGGAACCCCATTGATCTTGCATCGGCTATAGCATGCACACCCCGCCCTGGTGCTCGTCTTGATCGCCTCGCAGTTCCCCAATCATAGCCCTGCTCTGCCATCTCTTCAAAAAGTTGATTCAGCTGTGGCAGTGTCTTGGTGAGCATATTCTCGCCGCAAACTGAGTCAATCAGCTGCTTGTCTTCCGGGAAGAGGGCATGGTAGAAGGTGCCCACCTTGAAGGTGTCGGTAAAACCATGGTTGGGACACTTGAGGAAAAGATTGGGGTATCTCTCCCAAGCATCCCAAATGGTCTCATCTTCATCCTGAGGAAAGTGGTTGATTAGCTTCTGCAGGTCCACTGTCTTGGATGGAGGATGGTGGCGGGTGAGGAACTTGTCCGCCAAGTTGGCGAACGTGATGATTGAGCGTGGAGTTCAATTGTCCAGCCACTCCTTGGCTTGCCCCTCCAAAGTAAATGGGAAGTACCTCAGCTGGTTTGCATAGGCTGGAACCCCATTGATCTTGCATCGGCTACAGCATGCACACCCCGCCCTGGTGCTCGTCTTGATTGCCTCGCAGTTCCCCAATCATAGCCCTGCTCTGCCATCTCTTCAAAAAGTTGATTCAGCTGTGGCAGTCTCTTGGCGAGCATATTCTTCCCGCAAACTGAGTCAATCAGCTGTTTGTCTTCCGGGAAGAGGGCATGGTAGAAGGTGCCCACCTTGAAGGTGTCGGTAAAACAATGGTTGGGTGACTCACTCCTACTGTCACTCTAGAAAATGGCCAAGTGTAACCATTTCCTAAAGCGTAGTATAGCGGGTTTGGGTTTTAATGTCAACTCGGGTCCTAGATGTGATGACTACTCAGTGAATTCTTATTATCTAGCGGTGAAACTTTAGTGCAAGTCCAAATTAACAAAAAAACAAAGCAAGTGAAACGGTTGTTTTCAAGTCGAGAGAGGTCACCCGGATATGGTTCCCCCTAGACTGCAGTTAAGCCGGAGGGAAGGAGGGTCGGCCATGGAGAATGAGTCTCATGGTGTGAATGGAATCCACAATGGATAAAGATCATGGTGTGAACACAAGGTGTGAAAGGAATTTCAAGTGTGAACACAAGGAGGGGGGGGGTGGATTTGAAGGCTAGGTTCAAGGGTAGTTGTTGACTTAGTCTTTTCCTTGTTCGTTAAGGTTTTTGTTTTCATTGTTTGTTAAGGTTTTTGTTTTCCTTTTTCAAGTAGGATTTGGTTTTCCTTAGTTGTTTTGTGTTTACATTCGTGGGTCTATAAATAGGAGTTCAACCAATGTATTTTTCATTCAAGTTTTCAGCAATCAAATACAAGTGAGTTTGTGTGAGTTCAATTGTGAACGTTTTTGCTTAATCTCTCCTTTGAGGATTCGGGAGAATTGAATGGTCTCTTATCCACGAGTTCGAGATTGTTTGATTGGTTTCATATACCAATTGGCCCTTCTCACTAGTTCGGATCTATTTGATCAATTTCCGTGACTATCCTTTATTTTCGTGTCATTAAAGAAAGAAGAAACCCCCAAAAGATTTCGACGTTGCGCAATTCTGATTTTTGGTCCAAGTTTGCGTGGTTTCTCGAATTAGGATCATATCAAGTGGTATCAAGATCCCGGTTCAAACGCCGCGGAGAAGACAAAGATTCTTGGAGTTCTTGGTAGTTCGGGAAGCATTCTTGGAAGTCTTGAACGTCAAGAAAGCAAATCTTGAACGCTCTTGAGAGTTTCTTGTGTGGCAAGGTATCTTGAAGACAACATTCGTGGAGTTCTTATTTAGCAAGAAACCATGGCGGAACAAGCACAAGATGTGGTGGCACAACTTCAGCAACTCGCTGCATAGCTAGCTACGGTACTTCAAGAACAAAGGGAGACAAGGGCACAAGTTGAGGCATTGCAAAGACGTGATCAAAAGCAGCCTCAACCTCGAGAACAAGAGCCACCCCAAGGCGAGTTTGCAAACCCTAACCCTAGGGAACGACGAGAAGAAAGGAGAGTTGTTCGAGCTGTTCAACGTCCAATGTTTGAGAATGTTCGTCGACATAGGCCATTGGGAGGGCCGTGGTGCAAGGAGAGACTTCCCCTTCTATGACGAGGAAGGGTATGAAGAATACGAGTATGATGGAGGTGCTTACCGAGATGATGATGATCTACGAGGATTAAAGATAACCGAACCATCTTTCAAAGGGACAATTGATCCAGAAGCTTATCTCGATTGGGAATGCAAGATGGAGCTAATTTTTTATAATCAAAACTACTCGGAGAAGAGGAAGGTGGCGATGGCTACCATTGAGTTTACGGATTATACCCCACCGTGATGGGATCAATTGAGCACGAAGAGAAGAAGATATAGGCGCAGGCCTATTGAAACATGGGATGAGTTGAAGGCAATCATGAGAGATCGATTTGTTCCAGCCTATCATCAATGGGAAATGCACATAGCTCGATTTCTACATGGTCTTAATAGAGAGATTCGTAATGTCGTGGA